GTAACTGATTTGCCGGGGTTTATTGATGCTCCAAGACATGGTGACCTCCCTCGAGATGCACAGTTCTCGGATGAGACTGTACGATCGTTTGGACCCGTGAATCTTGGACTGTCTTACTTGTTCACTCTTTGCGACAGCTTGGAAAATTTTGATAGCTTCAAGAAGATGTCCACTGAATTGACAGGCGATGTACCTCAAATATCTCACGATGACCTTTGGATGGAGGACAGAATCTTTGGCAACCAGTTCCTCAATGGGTGCAACCCATGTGTCATTGAACGGTGCAGCAAATTGCCAAGCAACTTTCCTGTTACAAACGAAATGGTTAAAAGTTTCCTCGACCGAGGAAAGACATTGACAGAGGAAATTCAGGTAAGGATGAATCCACATTCTTTTTATGCCATTCTTTGATGAACATTCTATTGGTCGTGATGTAGGTGGACATGCATCTGGGGAACGGCGCTTTCTAACTAACAATTAGTACGTCACAACTGACGCACTAAGGATGTATCTTTTGCGTACTGGTCTTCTCCAAGTTTGAAAATAACTCATTTTAGAGTTATGTAGAAAAAAAATGTGTGTGAAAGGTTTATTGTACATTATGCTGACACCTTCCTTATATGATTAATCGAGATTTAATTTTCGGGCTTCTTAACCCTATTCTGCCTGGGCTTTTTTTTTCGTTCCTGAGCCTGGGGGGGGGGGGGGGGCAGATAGTGCCCCCCTATGTATCTCGAAAAGTATTGACGCTATGAAAATGAAACTTACATGGTATGTAAAGCATCCGAAAATCTTTATTTTAATGGCAGTCACGTGTCAATTATGACGTCATACGTTAAAAAAATCCGCCATCTTGGATCCTAAATCTTGGATTTCTAAATTGTTCAGAAATGTCAGAAAATCTCCAAATTTGCTTTGAAAAAATTAAGAAAAATATAAAGATGCTAAAACGGCAAATATTTTGGAAGGATTTCATCGTAAAAAGCAAACATTTTATGAAAACTGAAAATTAAGTTAGAAAATCAACAAATTTGGGTAAAACGATCTGTATCTCGAAAAGTATTTGTGCTATAAAAATGAACCTTATGTGGTGAATAAAGCATTCAAACATGTTTATTTTAGTGGCAATTACGAATCAATTATTATATCATATCACGCCGAAATAACGTCATACTTTAAACGTCCGCCATCTTGGATCCGCCATCTTGGATTTTTCAATTGTTCAGAAATGTCAGAAAATCACCAAATTTGATTTAAAAAAAACGAAAACAATATAAGGAAGCAAAAATTGCAAAGAGTTTGGAATAAACTCTTCGTAAAAAGCGAAAATCTCATGAAAACGGACATTCAAACTGAAAATACCAAATTTGGCTAAAACGGCCTGTCAAAACTTGGTTGCCATGGAAACATCAAGTCACGTGATCAAAAAATTGGCACACCAAAATGTTTCCAGATAATTTTTAGGAAAAGTCATAACGTTTGGCTATGATTGCTTGAATGCTCTTTAAGTACGATAAATTTGAAGTCAGCGCGGGCACTTTCTGCCCCCCCCCCCTCCCCCCCCCCCCCCCCCCCCAGGCAGAATAGGGTTAAGATATTAGATGGGTTTTTCTGGTAGAAAGAAAGGGGATAAAATATAAGCATAGAGAGAAAGTGCGAGAAAGAAATTAAAGGAACGAGAAAGAATCGAAAAGTAAAATCGATCGCGAGTCGTCAAGAATTAATAGGGTCAGTCACACATGTTGTACTATATTGTACCACAATTAAGAAGAAGGTGGGGAAAGAGATACGTACGAGGAGAGTCTACCTTAAAAGGTGGGTGGGATGATTGGGTAGTTGGTGGAAAGGTGATTGGGTGGCTGGTAGAAAGAAGCCTAAATAGGCTCCCATAAATAGGCTCCAATAAATATGATTTTTTTCAAAGATGACCCGACCATATCCGAAGACGTCCGAAGCGTCTGTATAGATCCTTTCGCCATATTCTGCCAGATGATTTCCGTAAAAATTGAATTCTGTAAAATTAGGAACTTTTAAAAGATTCCGGTACCAGGCAAAAGATTTTACTGATTAAATTTGAGATTGGTCCCTACGCTAGAAAGGGAACAGTCGCGTTTTAAAGTTTCTAAACTGTAAAACCCGTTTTAAGCCGCGGGAAATTAACTGATCGCTGAACTGATTTTGAACCTTTTATTCTTCAACCAGGCAGGACATGTTTACATTGTTGACTACAAGGAACTCGAGGGTATTAAACGCAATGGCGAGGACGGCAATTCTAAGTTATTTTACGCAGCAGAGCCTCTTTGTTTATTTTTTGTGAAGAGCTCCGGGGACCTAGTGCCTATTGCCATTCAATTATTCCAACAACCCAACGACACCAATCCGATATGGACCCCTGACGATTCACAATATGATTGGCTGCTGGCAAAAATGTGGTTCCGCAACGCTGACCATCAAGTACATCAGGTAAACATATGGGTTGATAACACATGTATCTGAGAGGTACTTCATGACAACGACAGCGACGAGAACTTCTCTAAACAAAACGTTGCGCGCACGGTATAAATGTTGGTATATTTCTTTGGTATCCTCAGCAAAACAAAATTAAGACGGAATACCGAATACTATAACAAGAGTTCATCGCGACGGCGAATTGACCTTCTTTTCCTTACTTTAGATTTTGCTATGAGATTGCTATAATTTTCCTATGAGATTGTTCTAAAGGCAAGAGGTAATACAAACTTGAAGGACCTTGATAATAGCATGATGCTAAAAGAAATGAAAACAGAACAATTATTTTTTATTTCAAAGGACATATCATTGTCATTGTCGTTTCCGTCGTGGTTACTTAGACTTCCACTTCCTTTGTTCCTTTTCCGTGGTTGTCTACATACACAACAAAAATTAAGTAACTATTTGTAACCATTTATCACTTTTTTTGTAATTGTTTGTTTGATTTACTTTTCATTCAAATTGCTGCATTCTGGTAGGCGAAATCCCGTTAACAATGTATTTTTACACTTAGCCTGATAAATTTATATATTTTGTATATTCCTTTTTTACTCAGACCATGTGCTGTTCGCATTTTTTGCAGATGGGAACTCGATTGATGAAAACTCATTTGCTAATGGAAGCGTTTGCTGTTGCCTCGTGGCGTCAGCTGCCATCAATCCACCAGTCTTCCAACTTCTGTTTCCTCATCTCCGTTCCGTTATGGCCATCAACACTATTGGAAGGAATGAACTGATCGCAACAGGAGGGATTGTTGACAAGACTCTCAGCATTGGAGGCGGTGGCCATATACAACTCTTGGAAAAGACGTACAAGGATTTCAAATTTGAGATACTCTCTTTGCCAGACATGTTGAAGAAGAGAGGTGTGGATGACACCGAGAAGTTGCCTAACTATTTTTACAGGTAAAATATATGCCATTTTGGGACTATTCCAGAATACAAATATCATGTATATAATTCCGCTTGTACGCTCTGCATGGTTGTAGAGTAACCCCCACCCCACCCTCCCCCCCTACCCCCCTCCCCCTCACCTCCTCGCCCCCACCCCCCCCCCCCCCAAAAAAAAAAATCAGCTTCAGGGACGTTTACTTCTTCACGTCATCTTCGTTCTCTTTACGTCATCAACCCTATCCCAAGATGTACTTGCTTCGATAATTACTGGTTCTTTCATATTTAGAGTCGAACTCATCTTATTATATTTACATTTAGAGTCGGAATCAGATTCTTCTGAGCTTGCTGCCACTCTTACCTCTGACTCCAAAATACGGATATAGTCATATTATAGGTGGTTAAATTGTAGCTACCGGTCAATGCTATCATCATCTACGAAAGACAAAATTGTTGTATCGTTTCCGGTTCATTACGTCTTCGCTAAACACATGTTATAGCCGTTGGCTCTTCTGCTCGCCTATATTTTCCTACGTACAATCTATTCCAACCAATCATAAACATGGTTCAACACGATTGGCTACTGGTTCGTGAAAAAGCCGTCTATAAATAGCCTAATCGCGAATCGGATGGCACCCAATATTAGAGATGATAAGTTCTATGTTGTACTTTTGTTTAAATTAGGGATGACGGTCTTCAGATGTGGAAGGCCATATCTGATTTCATCGCGGAATTCATCAGCATTTTCTATCAGTCAGACGATGAGGTTTCCAAAGACCACGAACTACAGTCCTGGGTGATGGACATTCACGACAATGGCTTCCCTGTAAGAGAAGGTGACGTAGATCACGAGTTTCCCAGGAGCCTTCAAACACGTGATAAGCTTGTTCACGTGCTGACCTGTATCGTGTTTGGATGCTCGTGTCAACACGCCGCTGTGAACTTTCCCCAGATTGATTTGGCAACCTTCATTCCAAATGTTCCGCCTGTGATGCGCCTTCCACCACCTACAACGAAAAATGAGGCAACTCTGAAGTCCATCATGGCTACACTGCCCAACAAGTCCCAAGCTGGTTGGCATATTGCTATCGTGTCTACTCTGACAGAGGTAGCGAAAGACGAGGTAACATGCAAGAATACTTCTTACTGAGTTTACTTCCGTGCTACTATTAGAGACTTTATATCGCACACAACAAAGTATGCAAACCAGAGAGGGTACTCAGGTACATAATAGTGACGGGGAGGCTCGAATTAGGCCAAATTGTTAGACCCCGGCCCAAAAAGTCCTATTAGGCTAAAACCAGACCAAAAAAAAGGTCCAACGGCCCAGAACGTAACCCTAAAAAGGTCCTCTTTTTCTCTGCAAAAAGTCCTTACCAAAATCTTCCACCCAAAAAACGTCACCACAAAATTTCTAACCCCCAAAAAGTCCTCAGATCGCAAATTTGAAACCCTGGCGGTATGCACGGGGCAACCAATTAGCAGTAAAACAACTTACAATAAAGTTCCAACGATATTATAAACCCATCAATACAGTACACCTCGTCATTGTCTGAAATGTTTATAGTAATGATATCACAATTAACCTTGTTCCAAATGTGTGGCTTCTTCATAGCTCAGTTGGTAGAGATCACACTGGTAACGCGGAGGTCATGGGTTCAATTCCCGTTAAAGCCCATAATCCTTGCAATTACTTAAATTGCAAACACAACTGCGAAACTCATTTATTCACGTAACAGTAACGACACACTATGCACTGTGATCATCTGGGACGAGCCTTGAACTCCCCCAATATAGAAATAACTTTTACAAAACCAGCTGTCAAAGTATGAATTGCTCTCACAAGTCCACTAATGGAAGATACTTCCTTGGAAAGGTTTACAAGTAAGCTGAAATATCTCAAACTATCAGCACGAGTTATCTATTTTTCACTAACTTTCAAGTCAGAAAACATTATAATTTATGCACAACAATTTTCAACCATCTTTCACTGAACGTCTTTTAACCATGCGTACGCTTTTGGCAACCGTTTGTCAAGGTGATAAGTTTGATGCTTTGTGTAGCTGTTTTCCTGGTATATTAGTCTAATATTTTTGAATTTCTTGTATTCTCACAGAGTTTCATGTCGGATACACTCCGGGGATACACTGAATGAATTTCGAACGATAGAAACGAAACGTTTTAAACGATAAACGCTGATAAACCAAACGAACGTTAAAACACGTTGTAAACGCTGTAAACTCTGCACCATTTAGCCAGGAGTTCTTCATGGAGCCGCTCCTCAAAATATCCACTCCTCAGTCTGAATTTCTGCTAGCTGGGAACTTCATTGTGATAGTCAAATCCTTGCTGGGAATTTATCGTACACGCTTTTCTTGCTGTGATTTTTAGTTGCAATGTCGATCCTGGCTGGAAAAAAATTGAAGGCTTCCTTTCTAGCTTCCTTCTGCTTTTTGCAGTGTACTCTGGCAATTTTTTCGCTGGCTATTTTTGGGTGGCGAACTCAGGCATTTGCGTGACCTGATTGCCCAGTAGCTAGGAGACGACAAGCGCAAATAAGGCGTGTGCATATTGTAAAACTGAAGTGTTAATGATTAAAACTTTGCAAGCAAACAATGGTTGGATATAATCTGAATTGTTTTCATCTTTTGTTAAGCTGTCATTCTTAGAGCTAAAACAGATCAGGTCTCTTTTGTTCTGTCAAGGCTTTTTTATATACCGCTATCTCAGCACTCGGTTCAAATACGCGCGTGCAATGGATGAGTGTCTTCAATATTAACTGAGGAGTTTGCTTCGGTTTTCCACTTCTTTGGATATTTCTGAAAAATATAATCTGCTGTATCGGAATATCTCTTGGTATGTAACTGGTCCACATTGTTTTGCTGTCAATTGAGGACCGGCTTTGGAAAAGAACTACACATTTATACCTCCTTACGTTTGTTGTTCAACAGTTTAGCATAGCCAGCAGCTAGCAGTCAACTGGCGTTCCAAGCTCGTCAGGTTTTCCTGTTTGAGTAGTAATACTCCATCTGATAGAAATTGCAGGGGTTTCTTTAAAGGATCTTAAAGTTATGTGAACAGAATTTAAGCGTAGCGAGACTGCAATTTTCTTTAAAAAAAAAAACATTGTGACCAAAAGCTGATGTTTAATTTGTGAGCATAGCACCCCGCGCTTGAAGAACTGATTTCAGTGACAAATAATGCTGAACGTACTGTGTTGTATGGAGTTAGTCAGTCGTCCCTTACTCCGGCCCTACGAGATCCGCACCAAACCGGAAATTTTTAAACTTGAGTCATTCTCGTGCTAACTGCCATACACGATACATTACTAGTTCTGTTCAAAATATAGCAGCTGAAAAGTTTGTTGTTTTTATAAAATGTAAAAGCATTCTTTTCAACTTTTTAATTCCAAGTGAAGCTTTCGCCTGACATCTGTTTGCCATCAATGGCTACACAAACCATAAAACATCCTACTATTTCCCTCGAAAATCAAGTTTTCTACTATAAAGGGAATGTCCTATCTATCCAAGGTATATGGCAACACTTTTGAAGTCCGTAAGAGGTCCAATAGAAGAAACCAAATTTTAACGAGTCTGCCATTTAGTAAATACGCAAACAAACAACCGCGAAAAGCTACTGTTTACCATTTTTACCGGAACAAAATAGGGGCGCAGTTTCAGGAAACCAGCGATTTAGTAACACTGTGCGGTCACGACGCTCTGTTAAATCTTGCTCGTCGCGTCCTGAAGACGGAATGTTCATGATTTAGGGAAAAACCAAAAGCGAGTGAGTTAACACAAAACTATTTATAATAACTGACATAAACAGAAACAAGCTCTCTCTGCGAAGGAATGAAATACACAGTAAATTCCTATGTCAAAGGTGACATGAATATTTTCTGGAACCACACAATACAACCAACAATAGCATATTTTGAAAAATGAGATTTAGTCTTAATTAAGAAGGTATTAATTCAGGTAGTTTTATTGAGATACAACGGGGCGATAACCTATCACTGGCAATGCATTAACTAACAGCGTTTTGAAAACTGCTTGTAAATGAAAGATCAAATCTCAGCCAGATTTTTTGTTGTGAGTTGTCATGAGAGGATTTACCGTTTTTCAATAATGTTTATGTTAATCCGTATTCAGTGTTTAAAACCCTTTTTAAAAGCCGACAATAGTTATTCTGTGGAAACAACTTATTACTTAAGCCAAAACTGAATGAGTTAATCAACGCTGAGTCCTAGAAAGTGTTATCTTTAGTCGAAATAGCATATTTACTCTTAAGTTACGTTTCCTAGTTATCCTGCCACACGAGCGGCTAATTAACAACCTGCTAGTATTGACTTTCTGTGTTGTAATACATTTACTAACACATCCAGTTTCACTAATGAATGTTCGCGTAGTTAATTGCTTTTTAGGGTGAGAACTTGCTAAACGATCTCGCTTATTAGCGCCTCACAATTTTGTTAGCTTTTCACTACTTTTAAATTGCTTCGTTAGTTATAAGTAACGTACTTTTAAAGATACTTTCTTCCCTAGGTAACGAACACTAGTAACAATAAGCTCTCGAGTTAAACTAGAATTTTGATTAGGTTGCGCTATCTTCAAAGGACCTTATCTTCCGTTGTAATTGTTTTCCACATCTTTATGGTAGCACACTTATTGTACTCTGTTAACAATGAGACGCGCGTACAATCATATATAAGGAAGTAACTTGTAAAGCTTTCTTTGATTACATCCTCGATTACATCCTCGATTACATCCTTGAATACATAGTCAAGAATAAACTGCTGTTGGAACCAAGTTCTGTCTCCTCCTTGACGTCCGTAGAAGTCTCAGTGAAGTAGATCCCCAGGTACCAAGAACAGTGACGAGTTCTGTTCCCGTAGGCCAAGTGGTGCTTCTATTTGAGTTAAGTTTCCCCCACGTTCACATACGTTTCAGTTAAAGTTCCAAATCGCCGTACATACGGAAAACCTATCGTCACAGAGTTTTGTTTTTAGTCTAGATTAATTTAAAAGTAAACAATTATATTTCGCATATATTCACACGATGTGTAATTCTTACAGACCACTGAGCTATAAGGCTTAGTAGGATTATGTGGTTAAGTGACATATATGGTAAGTGTATATATACTGATGTATAAAAATTGAAAAACTTTTACAAAATGCTCCAAAATTTCATGTTATTGCAGTATTAATTAATGTAGTGCTGGGAAAAATGCCTCGAACTGCTTTCCTGGAACCAAAATTGCACCTATTTTCTGGCGAAAAAAAAAGAGGAAAATAAAAATTCCTGGCTGGGAAAAAGGATCTATGACACAGATCCTGGCTGGCTAATCCGTTCGGTAATCTACGGTTAGCTGGCGCTGAGAAGCGGATATTATTTTCCCACGGTAGTTAATTATCAACCAAAGAAAACTCGGTGACTGTCAAATAATCGTTTGGGGCAATAACCAATCAAATTTGAAAATTTGCTCGTTGACTACTCCCAGGGGGGCTAGCAGCGAGGCCTGGGACTTAGTATACATGATTGCACATGTAAGAAATTTGGCCGAGCGAGACTGAGTACTGGTTTGTTTAAAATAAACATGGTGGACGATGGCGGACATGACGTGCGTTTGTGTTCGTTCAGAAATATTTTGGCGATTCCACGTTAAAACATCTATGGGAACGATTCGGTCGCTGTTTAACTGAACTTTGGTCATTGTGGGACACCATGGATGAAAATTTCCACATCAAACTCCCGTAGAGGTACGTTTCTCGAATGATTGACAGATTTATTTACTTGTGCGATCATGTATAGCGGAAAAGCGGCAAGATCAAAGGGCGCTGCCTGCCCCCCCTGAGTACTCCTGTTTAGCGAGTCGACTAACTTGTTCTCTTTGTTACTCATTAACCCAGCGAAAGAGAGGACCCAGAGGAGATTCAAAGAGCAACCATTCTTTCCCCACATGTTCGTTTCAGCTTTCACATATTCTTGTCGCAACAGAATAATATGTGCTGTTCCGTGACGATTTGATAATTCAATTAGTTGTTGTTTTTCAGTTGATTGAAAATTTACGTTTTGAATGAAATAAAATATTCAATTTTTTCAGCATAATTTTCACTTTCTTCTATTTATTTTCGGCTTAATTGGTTCCTTGTAAATATGGATCTAGAAAGCAAAATTAAATGAGATACTTGTTTTTCAAGGGGTCAAAACAACTTAATTTAATTAAAACCAGAGATTTTTTTTACATCAGATGGTGTTTTACTGTGGGTTGAAGTCAAGAAATTGTTTTTTTGTTCAAGATAATCGAAGTATTTGAAGTTTTTTTAGTGTTCTGCTATATGAACTGTTGCTAAATTAAAACACTTTTAATTAGCGTATGAATAATAAATATGTTGTAGCACGATGTCTGGGCCAAAAGGTCACAATGAAATTGACATGAATATTTGAAGGCTTTCAAATACAAGGGTGTAGAATTCACTATTTACTACACATTTTAAAACCGTTACACTAAATATTTCTTGGAAACCAGACCTAAAAGGGTGAATGTTTTAAATTTGAAATAAAATACTTTTTTTATTGGCTGTTACGTACATGTTTTCATCTGTCACGCATTGTTATGTAACTGTTTCTTTGTCTAGTAGCATTAAATATAGGGAAGAAATATGTAAAGACAATTGC